GGAGCTGCTGCATTGTAAATTTTGGTCAATGACATGAGACAAAGTATATGTGAACTGCTGTATGAAAAGTGAATTTACTCTGTAAATCTTCACCCAAACCCTAAAAAACAAAAACAAACAAAAAAAAAACTAATTTGTCCTGTAAACTTTCACCCAAACTACAGTTTAATAAATAAATAAAGCCTATAGAGGCCAGTTCTACTCTAACACATGTGCGATCGCCCGGAGTCGGGAGCAACTTGATGGCAACTGGTTTTTGGTGCTGAATGGATAAACTCAGCATGTTTTCCACCAGAACAAGGACTCAAAATAGATCTCGTGGGTCCATTTTTATTTCTCTTACCTTCCCGAATAGCTGTAAATGGGACTCCTTCCTCTGCGTTCACGCTGATGACTTTTAAAGCTACTAAGTGTCCATTTATCCTAGAAAAATGAGGGGAAGGACACACACTTGTTGAGGTTGTTCACAGCAGCATCTATGCTAATGATGGTTTAACAAAAGTAACTATCTTTCAAAATATATTCCAACACAGGAATCTATAATTATCTCAAATAAATTTTAATATGGACTTTCCAAACTATTTTTTTTTTGTTTACCAAAGTGATTTCTGTTCATCACAGAAAAGCACAGAGAAAACCCCCACCAAATCAATCCATGTAATATTTTGATCTGTATTATTCTTTTTTTCCCCTTTATGTACATATTTGAGCCATTCTTATTTTTCATCTGAATTATTACAGTGGCCTCTTAACAGTGTTCCTGCTTGTACAGTTACACCCCTACTGTCTACACTCAACCAAGTAGTAGAGGCATCCTTTTAAAATGAAAGTCAAATTAAGTAACTTCTGTTCAAAACCTACCATTATCTCATTTCACACAGAATAAAAGCCAAATTCTTACGTTGTCCTCCGAGGTGCTACAAATCTGTCCAGGTTCTACCATTATCACTCTCTCCTCATCTCCTTCTAACCAGTTGCTGTTAAGTCCACTCAGACTCACGGTGACTCCACGGGTGTCAGAATAGAGGTGTGATCCACAGGGTTTTCAGCAGCTAATTTTTCAGAAGTAGATCTCCAGGCCTTTCTTCCGAGGTGCCTCTAGGGGACTTTGAACCTCTAACCTTTCAGTTAACTGTGGAACGTGTTAACCATTCGCTCCACCCAAAGACTACCCAGCTCCTTCAACTTTCTCTTCAACTTTCTCTTTATTCAGTTGTGTGGGGTTTTTTTTTTTTTTTTTTTGAATGAAATAGGCTAAGTGCCTAGAACACAGACCATTTAACACACTCGTATATTTAATACACTATCTCTGTCTCCTGTTCTATTCTTTTCCACAGCACTTTTTACCCTGTGACAAACTCTGTATTTTACTCAGTGCCTGGGTCAGAAATGTCTGACTATGGACAACTCTTATTGGCTCTTTAAACTGGTTCTGCCATGGCCAACGAAGGGAAACAGGAACAGACCTGAAGTTTTACAATTTGGCAAATTCAGCATGGTACCTAGAACAGGAAAATTACGGGCCCGAGCACTGGAATGGGAAATCAGAAGAAGCATAGCGAGACCTTTCAGGAACCTGATGCATGGTATTGGGTTATTAGCAGGACTGTAAGAGAACGACACACATTTAAAGAGGTGCAGCTGGCTACCATCTTTAAGCAGGGTAATGCTGCTTCTGACTGTGTTCACAATCCAAGGGCAAGACATTTGGTTGCTATGTAATGCATAGGCTATCCTTCTTCTGTAAGAGGGAGATTAAGGTTCTAGCAAGTCTTTGACTTGTAATTTTTCCTGTTCTGGTTATCTTTCTGGGTCACCCTAATTTTAAAAATTCAAGTCTGTTCTAGTAATGCTTGCTTGACCATGACTGAACCAGGGAGAACTGGTTCAAAGCCCTGACAAAGTATTAAAGACTATTAGGAATGGATCTTGTTAATAACCCAGGGACTGACTGTAATGTGTTTATTGTCTGTCTCTCTATTACTTGAATATGTACTTCATAAGAACAGGGATTTTTGTTCTCTGATGTGTCTATGAAAACAGTGCCTGGGTCATAGCCAGACCTAAACCCACTGCCATGGAGTCAATTACAACTCATAGCAACTCTATAGGACAGAGTAGAACTGCCTCCATAGGATTTCCAAGGTTATAAATCTTCATGGAAGTAGACTGCCTCATCTTTCTCCCACAGAGCAGCTGATGGGTTCAAACTCTTGACCTTTTCATTAGCAGCCGAGGGCCTTAATCACTGTACCACTAGAGCTCCTGGTATATAATAGGTGCTTGATATAGATTAGTGAAATGATCGAATTCCTCTCTGACTCTTCATGCAAGTCTTTTATATCTCTTAGTAAATCTTTGTATAAATCCTGCCCATTTTGGGAGCACTGGTAGTGTAGTGCCTACGGCATTTGACTGCTAACCAGAAGACTGATGGTTCAAACCTACCAGCCATTCTTTGGAAGGAAGATTGAGCAATCTACTTCTGTAGAGATACCACCTCAGAAAACCAAGGAGGGGTCGCTATGAGTCCATGGCAGTGAGTTTGGTTTTTTGTTTTTTAATGCTTTTTTTTTTTCCTATTGTGAGTATGATTTTTACCTATTATGTTTTCTAAATGGTATTATTAATACATAAGACAAATTTTTATGAGCATATTTGGTTTTGTAACTGATCATCTTTTTGTTCCCTTACTGCTTACTGCTATAAATAGTTTCTTAGGTGACAAATCTATGTAGACAAATCTATAATCTACACAAATGATACTTTTTTTCTTCTTGCATTGCTAGAACATTTATAAAAATCTTTAATAGTAATGGGTAGTGGGTATTTTTGCCCTATTTCTAATGTAACAATCTCTTGTGTATTTTTCCATAATCTTCCATGCATATATAAATTTATACATATACTATACATCTGAGTAATTTTTTCTAAATGGGAAAATAGGGTCTATATTGTTCTGTAACTTGCTTTTTTATCTTCAAATATTGGGAATCTTTTCATATTAGTTCCAGTTCCTAATTTAGATGTATACTATTTCATTGTATGGTGATTATTTAGCCAGGCCTTCACATGACCAAGTTTTTATTTTTGTCTGTTGTAAATCTTGCTTTAATGCACATACTTCTATATATATCTCTGTGCACTTGGATAAGTACTGCTAATGTATTTTCATCCTATTACTCGGCTGAGTTCCTTGAAAGAAATCTTTTATAGTCTTAGGTCCTGGGATAGCCTGTTAAATTGGATTAAACTCTGCCTCTGTACAATACATTTAAAATGATATTTCCCCTCAAATCCTGTGTAACAGTTATAAAAATAAATAACACAAGTAGTAAGATAGATATGCAATATTTACTCTTATAAAAACACAACACAACATACTGCCATAGAGTTGGATCCTACTCAGCAACCCCTCCTTGGGTTTCCGAGGCAGTATCACTACGGAAGTAGATTGCCCAACCTTCCTTCTGTAGAGTGGCTGATGAGTTTGAACCTCCAGTCTTCTGGTTAGCAGTCACATGCCTTGGGCACTATGCCACCAGAGCTCCTTTACTCTTGTGTTACGTTATTTGCTGTGGAGTCGGCCCGACTCATAGCGACCCCTCCTTGGGTTTCCGAGGCAGTATCACTACAGAAGTAGGATTGCCCAACCTTCCTTCCGAGGAGTGGCTGGTGGATTTGAACCGCCAGCCTTCTGGTTAGCAGTCAAGTGCCTTAGGCACTATGCTACCAGAGCTCCTTTACTCTTGTAGTAAATATTAAATATTTTAAATTAACCTTTACCACTGTTGTTGTTATGTGCCGTCGAGTCGGACCCGACTCATAGCGACCCCTCCTTGGGTTGCCGAGGCAGTATCACTACCAAAGTAGATTGCCCAACCTTCCTTCCAAGGAGTGGCTGGTGGGTTTGAACCGCCAGCCTTCTGGTTAGCAGTCAAGTGCCTTAGGCACTATGCTACCAGAGCTCCTCTATGCTACCTTTTGTTGTTGTTGTTGTTATGTGCCGTAGGGAACTATTATCTTTTCCCATTGGAATAACTTATAAATCGAAGAACTCAGACTTTTTTACTTTCCCCACCTTAACTAAAAAGCAATAACGTTCATGGATCTTTCATATATATTTCACAGTTTGTTTATCAAAATAGATAGTTTGCTTCCTGGTATGCAGTATTTTTATTCTCCAGCAATTTTGTATGTTTTACGAGTATGGAAAACCCAGGATTTACCATTTTTTACATATATCATACTTTATATATAGAAGCAACCCTGGTAGCACAGTAGTTAAAGTGCTCAGCTGCTAACCAAAAGGTTGGTGGTTCAACCCATCAGCTGCTCCATGGGAGAAAGATAAGGCAGTCTGCTTCTGTAAAGATTTACAGCCTTGGAAACCCCATGGGGCAGTTCTCCTCTGTCCTATAGGGTTGCTATGAGTCAAAATTGATTCCACGGCAGTGGGTTTATGGAAAACCGTCAGAGATACCTTAAAAACTGTACTTAGTACCAGGCTGCAGAGCAGCAATTGTTCTTTGAATCAGTAATCATTTTTAGCTGCCATCAGTATGGCTTCACCTCATGGTGACCCCATGCTCAATGGAACAAAACGGTGCCTGGTTCTGCACGATTCCCATGACTGGTTGTGGATTAGACTGTTGTGATGCTTAAGGTTTTTGTTGGCTGATTTTTGAAAGTAAGCCACCAGGCCTTACTCCCAAATCATCTTAGATAGGAAACTGCTGGAACCTGTTCAGAACCACAGCAACACACAACGACTCCACTGACAGATGGGTAGTGGCTGCGCATGACATGCAGGGGCTGTGAGTAGAACATGGGTCTGCCACCTGGAAGATGAGAATTCTATCACTGAACCCAACACTGCCCCCAGGTTAGTAGTAGAGAGTCTATTGAATAAAAGAGGAAAGGCTGACGAACATTTTAGTGAGCTGATTTAGTTGGGGCAGTGCAGGTTGGTTTTTCTTTCAAGGGTTTTTGAATGATCACATCCTTCTCCCTGTTGTCCATTTTGTCTTGCACAGGTCCTGATGTCTCACCCGACTTTATAAAGTAAAATGAGGGGGGCGGGACACTCATCTCTAAAGTTTCTCTCAGCTCTGAGTCACTTACCTGCTAATCCCCTTGTAAACTGTAGCATAAGAACCTTCACCCAGTTTCTCCAAGTTCAAGTAAGATGAGGCTGCCCCAAAAGGGAGACTCTTCCTCTGCTCAAGGGGAGTGGAAGGGGTGAGAGGTGGGGAAGAGAGAAAGGGCATGTTTTCAGTGCTGACATCTTTCTCCCCAGGGAAATTAGACAGCATTGCCTGAGTGTACTTGGGGAGGCACGGGCAGTAATTGCCCTGGAAGTAAGAGCTGGCCTCCCTAGACAAGCCCACATTAAATTTCTACAGGATCAACATCAGCTGCTCACTCACCCACTGAAAACTCTGCCTCAGATCCTCTTCCTGAAAAGAATCACTGTTATTCCGTGGCCTTTTACTGTTAAACTTCCGGGCCTGGGCAGCCTGAAGTCCCCTGGGGTGAAGTGAAGTCATAGAACATGATGCTTCTTTTAGGTCTGTTAGCTAGAGAAAAACAAGCCAAAAAAAAAAAAAGTACAGGAACAAAATTTATGCGAAGTCAAGACTCGGTGGATGGCATACATCATTTTTCCTTTATTTGTCTGATTTTCATTTTTCAAATGTTTTCTAAGCTTTTTACCTCCCCAAAAGGGACTTTACCTGAAAGTCAGAGTCCTTAAAAAGACCCCAGTGCTTACAACAGCTGAAACACTGCTTCCTTTCTTCACTTAAAAATATGTTTTTGACACTTAGGTCAACCTTAATCTCTTAATGGATGCTTTCCAATTTTTTTTTTTTTTCTTTTTAACACAGGTTCCCCCCCACCCCCACCCCATGTCTGCTTAATTTATTTCTTTAGGGGAATAATTTTCTAGACAGCATTACTCAGGATCATGAACTCATTATTAAATTTTTGAATCCACAGCATACCAATACTGTAGGTTGCTTTTTGAGATTCAGTTCTGCAATTGAAGTATCTCACAGATTTTTAAGACAATAATGACTTTCTCTACTTTAAGGCAAGTGATGCAGCCCAAAGCATAAGATTATTTTTCCCTCTTGGTTTTACAAGAACATCTTCAAATTCGATAACAACAGCCATAAATTCTCTGTGACTTTAATGGAATTTTCTATTTATTGGTTTAGACCTACTGCAGAAAAATCAGACCCTGCTATAGAAAGGGAGTCTCTGAACTCCTTGGTTTATCGATAAAGAAAGATGCTCCAGCCCGGGATACAAATACCTCGACTGCAGCCTCCATCGTCACAGGCTGAGTCCTTTCACAGCTGTGTACCTCGCCTCCCTCCGAATGACAGCAATTGCATCCAGGCTGTAGAGTCTTTGCACACAGCTCCTGACCCATAATCTTCTAGGTTCAAGGAGAAAACCTACACTTGAACTTCACCCCCTCTGCCTCTCCAGTCCTCCGTTCTCTCCCTTTTGCCAGAGGTCAGCAGTGCTGGAGCTTTCATATGACTCACATGAGGGCTCTGCCTGGAGCAGCCTCATGACTTCAGCAGTTTTCCCTTATCACTGCAAGGAACTATACATCAGAAAGGCTGCTGTCCGCATTCTTAGGTGCACGACTGCAAAGAGGGTGGCTGAGGAGGGCTGACGAGGCATAGGGAAGGTTCTCATTTCACACTGCAGCCACAAGTTAGTGTTGTTGGTATACAGCACTTAACATGAATTTACTTTGTTTATCCATATAAATGAGAATGGGATTCATTAGGCTTTACTGGTGCTAAAGTGGATATCTTGGGGAGTAGTTTCTCCCTGGTTTTCATCTAAAAGCATTTTGCTTTTCAGCTTCAAAATAAATTTGTAACCTGGCCAACTTTAGTCATCAAAGAAACCACAGAATCATACAACAGGAAGAAAGCTGAAGATAGCCACTCCATCTCTTTGCCT